ATGTGTGTTTTCACTGATAGTTGAAATGATGTTGGATGTTGTGCATTTCTGTGTTTGGCAGCTGGTCCGTGTGACTACTACACCGACTACGTCGCGACCCGCTGGTATCGCGCCCCCGAACTGCTGGTGGGAGACACTCAGTACGGCCCCCCGGTGGACGTGTGGGCAATCGGTTGCCTGTTTGCTGAGCTCCTCTCGGGGACGCCTCTGTGGCCCGGGAAGTCGGACATGGACCAGCTGTACCTGATCATAAAGACCCTCGGTAAGATCAGCCTCCTGCGTAAAATGCCTTTACATTTTCGGAGAAACAATATCTCATAGCAATTTTTTTCCTAATTTTATCGGTGAGGTATAATGCGTTATACTCGCTATTCGCTGTGTGATCATGTTCCAGGAGATCTGATTCCTCGACACCAGCAGGTCTTCAGCAACAACCAGTTCTTCTGTGGAGTATCCATTCCAGAGCCACAACAGATGGTGACGACGAGTTTTGCTTCCTTTATTTCAGTCAGAAAAGGCCGAATAAAGATCATTTCACTGAAATAATAAATGAACAAAAAGAAATATCTAAACTTGTGACTGTCTTTTCAAAAAGTCCTTTTGCTCTTCGGTTTCTGCAGGAATCTTTGGAGCAAAAGTATCCAAACCTCTCACATCAAACTCTGAGCCTGATGAAGGTGAAGTTGTTTTTATTTTAATGTTTGCAGTTCTTCCTGCTGCTGTTTTACAAAACTGACAAATTCTGGTGCTCTGGCCACACGTGATGGTGCAGGGCTGTCTGCGGATGGACCCGTCTGAGCGGCTGACCTGTGAGCAGCTCCTCCAGCATCCGTACTTCGACAGCCTGAGAGAAAGAAACGAGAGCACATCTCGACAGCAGGACCGCTCCGGCAACAAAAGGACACGTTTACCTCGCAGACACGTTCCCCCCGGGGTGAGCAGCCTTCTGTTCCAATGATAAAGATGACGTACCATATTTGGGATAACTGGTGCCAAACTGGTTGTGTTTTAACTTGAATACAGAATTGTCAGTGGTTATATCGGCTCATACTATTAAAACGAGCACTTAAAAGTTACAAATCAAAAACTACTTCTTATATGTTATTAATAGATGACTACTTATACCACTTATACTACTTATTATATATCAGGATATAATAAAAGATAATCAGGTCCCGAGGTCTGAAATTTAGGTAAATACAACATCGATGAACTACAAAACATAACATGACAGTTTGTCCCGAAAGAACATCTGCAATCGCCACAATTCAACTTTATTCTCAAAATGATCAATATTTTTGTTCTTAATTTGTCCCTAATACTCCATCATAGAGGGTAAGTAGCAGTCAAGTGTTGCTAATAAAATGCACTTATCTAATGATCATCAACGAGGGTCACCGACTCCATAAAAGCAGAGGTTTTTGGCAGTTTGCAGGACTGCAGCATGCAGGTGTGTGTTAACACAAAACCAAAATGTTCCCAGAAGTGGACATCCCAGCAAAGATCAAATCATGCAATGCTCAGAGAAACTAAAAAACAAAACAAGAGCTACATCTCAGTTAGCATGTTGAATGTGAAAAAGACTGAACAAGTGTGGCTTGTTTGGAAGGAAAGCCTCTTCTCTCTAAAAAGGACATGTTAGCACAGCTTCAGCTTCCAACGTTGCAACTAAACAGATGACAAGATTTCTGGAACAATACCATTTGGACAGATCAGACCAAAGTTCCACTTTGTTTGGCCATAAGCACCACATTTGGTAAAAACCAAACACAGTGTGTCAGTAAAACACCTCACACCAACAGTCGAGCACGGTGGTGGAGGAGTGAAGATCTGGGTTTGTTTTGCACTCGAAGAACCTTACAGCTATAGAGTCGACCGTGAATTGTTTTCCGGGGTTTTCTAGAATTAAATGCGAGGACAATGCAACAGGACAATGATCATAATCACGGCAGCAAATCCACAACAGACTCTCTGAAAAAGAGACCCAGTCAGAGTTCAAACCTCAGGTTGTAAAACTCATCGATCTTTTAAAAAATGCCCTTGTAAACTTGTTTTTACTGATTTTTGTGCTCTACAGTATTTGCCACAGTTGACCAGCAGCGGCTTCTTTCCAGCTCTGGACAATAAGAGGTACTACAACAACCTGCGCAAATTCAACTATCACCTACCGAACATCTAATCCCGCTGGTCCTGATCCGAGTCCAACCACCACCAAGAGCTCAGTAACGTGACGCATACTCCAGTAGCACTTTTTAAACACATTTAATGAAGCTCCAACCACTTTTTATGAGGTGTATCACATGAGGTGTCTCTAGTATCTCTCTCGTTGATGTCAGTCTATGCACTACTCCCAGCAGGTCATGTTGGTTTATGTATGTCGCCGTCGTTTCAGGCTGATTTTGTATAGAGACAAGAAGCAGTGAGCTGCTCCGCTCGTAGCTGCACAGTAGACTGAAGGAAAAACTCCAATGTACTGCCTTGCCTGGTTTGCCAAATGTATTTTTATATAATGACGGGCTTTATAAGAGCAACTTGTTTGTTATTTTAGTAAGTTATAATGCAGGACATGAAGTTAAACTGCTCGTGAGCGTTTCAGAAAATCTTATTTATTGACATTAGGAGTAAATACAGACATTAAACATCCTTTATCCCACTTTCACAAACATTTATTAGCAGCAGTCGCACTGTACTCAACGTCTCTGGAATATTGGTGCTAAGGATGTTTTCAGCCATCTGTTTGTCCTCAGATATTTAATGATGAATGCCAAAATAATCTAAAAAGAAGATGTAAATTACTCTTAAAATAAACCTTTTCAATTGCTTTCTCTATGTACACACATATGGAGTTACTTTGAATAAATATCACAGTGAACTAGTGTCACCAGCGATTTCATTTGACTCTTTGTTGGACTGACGAAATGACAACTCTGTGAATGATTACGCCACACCTTCTCGCGACAAAAAACCCTCAAAACCTAAGAATAATGGATGTTGTGCTGTGTGCCATTCACACGATCAGTCCAGGTCCAGCTGTATTTCCAGATGTGGAAGTGCAGTTTGCAGCCTGTCAACTGTTGTCTGTCTGTCTTTGATTCCGGGAAGATCACTGAGAAACAGATACTCCAGTTTCCTGAGAGGAAGCATCGCCTAATTACTTCATTCGTTATAAGACTGTTTTTAAAAAAGCACCATTAAAACATGCGGTACTTTAAATTTGTTTCCTTTGGAGCGAACAATAAACACTGACCTGAGTTTGTGCAGGGCGATAATACCCTTATCAGTCACATTTCCACACGACACCACCTCCATCATGTACAAGCTCTCCTGCAGGTTCTCTATGGAGGTCAGCCTCTCCAGACAGGCATCTTCAATGTAGATACACTTATTGAACTTGACTTCTTCCAAATGTTTCAAACCATCTAGAAAAATCAACGTTAAAAAAATGGCATCAGCACGTTTAGGAAAAGGGACTCAGGCATGCTCTCCTTTAAATATATATATACTGGAGTTCAGCAGCCAGCAAGGTCAGAGAAAGCGTGCGTGCCTGCTTGGTGTAAAATATCCCGGACACTTGCGTCACTTTTAGATAATTAGTCTAAGAGAGATGCACTTTCCCCTCGCCTTTCTTGTTAACACCATGGAAGGGAATCGCTTTCAGGTCAACCGTCGAGGTCGAAGCTAATGCAAAATTTACACTTTCTGAACTTGGCTTTAATTTTTAATTTAAACACACTCTTTACTATGTTAATCCAAAGCGAGTTCAAAGGGAAATAACCTATGTTAACATATGTCAACATCTGGATTTATTGATGTTAACAGAACATAAGTCCTAATGACTTATGTTCTGTTCCCCCAGTGCCATCATTGGGTCAACAAGATCATTATGAAGCTGGAAGTACAGAATATTGAGTTCCGTCCTTGTTGATCAAAGCGTCCCTTATTAAAGTTCACAGTCTGTCAGTTTTGTAACATATTTTTGTTGCAATGTTGCTTTTAATTTGTTATATTATATACGAGACATATATAACTTTATTTTTTAATGATTTCTTTGACCAGTTCTTTTTCCAGGGTGGAATGATTGCACAGCACACATTTTAATCACTTTAAAAAACAAAAACTGGGTGCATAGATTTGAATTTGCTTTTGATTTTTTTCTAATCCATACAGAGCTGAAAATGTATACACTCAAAACTATATATATACGCATTCCCCTAAATCTTTTAATAAGTACGCTGAAGGTTCTACAATGTCTTTTAACTTGACAGGGCCTATTAACTTCTCATTAGTGATCATGATCGACCACAACAAGGATTTGTTTACCAGCACTCATTGGATTGATCAATACTTTGAAGAATTGCAGCACCCAACATGGACAAGCTAAATGCTTTCTGGAGAAACCTTTAATGGTCAGACGACACGGACATTAAGCTGGAAAGTGGACAGAATATCTTAAGATTACTTCCAAATTGTTCAACTTAACCTTAAATCTGTAAGGCTGTATGTATATATTTGAGCCTGTATGTATTCTTCTGACCCAAAGTTTGAAGTAAATTCAAATTTGTACATTTGTGTATGCTGCACATCTTTAATGACATCTGCACAGTTCAAAGGAATCGTTAAAACCTCAAAATAACTGTGAGATTCACGTCCATGGATGCAAACTTCTGACCACAACTGCATGTATATCTGAGGTTAACAAAGTACTTATCCAAAACGCATCCAAAAGATATTTAAGTGCAGAAGACGCTGCACCCTCTGAATCTAAGAATATGGATTTTTTTCTTTCTTCTGTGATATGAGATCAGCCATTAAACACAATATTAATTCATCAATGTTTTCCTCCCCATGAACATTTTTTCTGTTAATTAACAAGACAACAGCCTCACCAGGTGTGTGACTGTACACTTAAATATATCTGAGACAACATCCGCGATCATTAGGTGAAGACGTCAATGAGTCTAGAACAAGAACATGATGTTCTCCACACTGACCCAGGTAGTCAAACCCTTTGTACATGATGCAGGATTCAGTGGCGTCAATCGCCTGGATCTTGTATCTGCCCAGAGACCCAGTTGGCAATGCGTTGTAGTCGAGATGCCAGCGATCAAAACCCTGGAAGCGCACTTTAGCACCACATCTCAGCAACCACTCTGCTGCTGCTCGGTCTGGGCCCACAGCTTTTATCCTTTCATAGTCCACCCTGAGTGAAGATCAACAAACAGTCAAAGTATTGCACATGCTGATATGAGATGAAATGTGACGGGTCACATTTGTTGGGTGCAGAAAGGGAAGAAGGGTCAAGAGACAAAAGTCAAAAGTCCTATTGACAACTTCCCCACTAGGGCAAATGTTAAAACCTGAACTAATCATCAACGGTTTACAAAAACAAACATGTTGTCAGTTCATAGCCTGTATATAGCTTGTACTCACTACAGCCTGTACATACTTATAGTTATAGAATATTCACAACATACTTCATACCGTGTACATTATAACATAATAGACCCATTTCTGTAATATACTTACATATCTATATTATTGCTAATATATATTGTAATATATCTATATCACTAAAGCACTTCTGGATGGATGCAAACTGCATTTCGTTGCCCTGTACCTGTGCATGTGCAATGACAATAAAGCTGAATTCTATTCTATTCTATTCTATTCTAGTTTATTTAACATGAAAAAAATTATTTTAAGCGCCACTGGACTGTAATTCCTCATCTTTACTAAACAGTTACAAGCAAAAATCTCTGTAAATGAAACAAAAGTGAAAATTAATTTATAAATACAGGCCTAGAAATAGCTTTTCTGTTTAAGTGTTTGTTTAGACTTTGTTTATATGATCTTAGATAAATGGATATGTTTCAATGTGGGCTTTCTTTTCTTTGTTTAGGGAAAAAAATAATACTGTAGCTGACCCATTGTGTCCATTTCTACCCAGCTATGCTTTTACTGGATGGACGATGTGTTTAAGATGAAGCCATTGGCAGTCAGATCCTTTCTAAATGGTATTGCATGGTGGATCAAAAACTGACTTTTGCTCTTCTGCGTTCATAATTCCATCAATTTTGACAAGATCCCAACACCGTTGTCTGAAACACAGCTCCAAACCATGACAAAGCCTCAACCGTGCATTACAGATGGCTGTTGATACTCACTATTGTTTCCTTCTTCTGACCCCTTCAGTACATATTGATGAATCACTCCATCAGACCTGTTGTCACAGATTTTTGGTCAGGTTCTTGTATGATTTAGCATACATCACGCTTTTTCTTTCTTTCTTAAGAACGGCTTCTTTATAGCCATACTTCAACCGAGGCCATTTCCAATGAGGCCTCAGTGAAGACTAGATCGATCAACAGAAGATCCAGGTGCATCTCTCAGGTCCGGTGTCAAGTCTTACCTGGATTCTTTTTCTTTTATATTTCTTAAGTACATCACTTTCAGATAGGTTTGTCTGCTGTAGAAGCTGTAGTGGCTTTTCACTTGTTATTTTGTACTCAACATGTCCAGTTTCCAATTTTAATGACACACCACGCTGAGATATAAGAAGTTTTAAGCTAATCTCTCTTTGGGAATCATCTTGTTGGTGTGAAAATCCTATTTTATGCCTATCAAACTGTATTATATTTAGCATTTTTCATACATTCAGCTACAGAAACAGGAACAAATTACAGGCTGCTAGTAGCAAAGTGCCTAAAGACACGTTTTAAAGGGGTGTTTGCCAAGTTTTTTGTTATGTGTTGACAAAACTGGTTCATTCCTTGAGTTAGATGCCTGTTTTATGTTTGTCTGACTCATAGGTCAGGGTTAAGTCTCTGAATATAGTCAGGTACAAGGACTGGGTTCAAAATGAGAGAAAAAGCAGCTAATGTCCAGAAAAAGAAAAGTATGGCTCAAGACTTTCGTATAGTGATGTATTGTTAAGGTGGAGGTGACTTAATAAAAAGGTGCCTCACTTGTTGAAAACGGCATTTAGCCAGCCCCAGAAGTGTCTGCGGCTCCTCTCCGGGTGAGTCCCCGCAAACTTCACCGCCCGCGACAACAGTCTCATATCTGAAAGCCAAACAGTGCACTGGGAGTTATCTCCTCTGCTGGCTCTCACCGACAAACAGCGCAGGACTGCGACACATAAACAATCCCGTCTCTCACCTGTCCTCCCACAAGCAAAGGACAACTGACAAACACTACTGTTTACATTCAGAGCGCAGCCATCATAGCTCTAACCTTTAACCTTAACGACGTATCGCGAATAAAAAAAACGCGGTATCCAATTGGCTGGACGCGCTTACGTCAGAGCGGAACGTTAGCGGCTCTACGTACGGGAGCGAGAGGAGGAAACACGAACACTAGGAGCTAAGGAAAGTCGCTCCTGGCTTTTATACAATGAAGAGGCTAATTTGAGCTGCTATTAAACGCTGTGACAATGATCCGGATCCTGAGCGGGGCGTCCTTTAAGGCTGCTGGTGGACTGTTAAAGGATATTCAAAGCAGACAGCTACACGGGTGAGGCTGACACCACAAAGACAATGACTTGTGCATAAGTGTGAGCTTGTTCAGTTATATGTGAGAGAAGAAGTAGTGGTGGGGTGCTAGTTTCTTTAATCCGTACAGATAGGTAGGAAAATGTGCAGAAGAGCCTGCCCAAATATGCAACTTTCACTGAGCTGTCAGTGAAATCCAGCACAGGTGTCCTAATCGCTGAAGGACACCCAACTCTCCAAGATATAGATTCAACAACATCTGTACCCTCTGAATGAGCTAGGTCCTCACGCCACGTTGTTTACTCACACAAAACATCTGTCTGCCTCTCCAGTCATCTGCGCTCCATTCACATTTCACTAAGTCATTTTAAACTTTCAGAAG